CCGAAAAAGCACTGGATTTTTTTCTAAGAAAGGGACGATTCAAAAGCTCCCATAAAATTTTTGTCTTTTTTAAAAAATGGAGACTGTTGAGAAAATCCAAGTCATCCTGTCATTCGTGCGTCGCTATATGACACAGCTGTATATGCTCGTCACTGGCATGTGAAGCAGTAGCCACCTTCATATGCAAGTAGAAATAGAAGCCTTTTCTTCAACTTGAGGTATGTTTTTCGTTGTAGCAGGTCATCAAAATCTTTGTTTGATTTTATCTAAAGTCTAGCCACGTTTTTGAAGTTTCACTTTTTTAGAAAGCAAATGATAAATACTTTGAGTCGAATATAAAATTTCTGTTATAATTTTCTAAAGTTTGTGCCAAAAACTTTGCTCTTCTGCCATTCCCACGTGCTCTCATATTTGCTGTCCTTCCATGAAACTTACAGGAGCATCCCTGGACGCTCCATTCCAAAAAGCAAAGTTAGTTCCGCCGTGAATCATATAGAAGTTAAAACTTGCTCCCAAACTGTACATATCTAAATAAGAAACACATTTACGCGAAAGTTCTTAAGAAAATGCCAAAAAACTAGCATTTAGCCGATTTAACGATAGCTTCAACTGTAGGAACATGAGCCCTTTTCGCACCCCATAGCACAAACCAACCAGGATAAAACTCAGAGTTTGCCAGAGGACCACGACCTGAAACAATAAACGAGGTATATACGGTTACCGCCAAAAAGAAGCCTTTATGGAAGACCGTTTGGCATGAATTTCCGCTGAGCTTCAAACGCTGATTTGATGTTTTCATCAGAAGCTGGACCAAAATCGACGGTCGGGTAAGTGCCAGGAACAGCTCCACATTTTAAATAATTCTCTGCTCCACCATCAGCTGCAAGACGAATAATTTCTACTTCAAGACTTTAAAGAATTTGAGCCTTTGCATCGTACTCGTGTATATGACCGTGTCGTTTCCGAAGTAGCTATGAACATGGTCGCGCAACCAATTGGTATAAGTCCTAAACATAGAGAATTTTT